AGTAAAATTACAATTAACTTTATTAATGATGGTTATTTTAAAGTGTTGCTGTGATACTGAATGCCTTATTAAGAGTGATCTTCTAATAAAAGGCATAAACAAAGGCAGGAGCTTGGAGGGAGAATAACCAACACGTTTGACTCAGTGAAGAATAATCTGAAAGCTTGTGTGCGGAGAAGCCCAGAAAAGGATTTGTTTTAATAATGGCTTTGTCCCTTCAAGCCATTTGTCAACTAAAAACAGCAGACTTCAGCTGGATGGGAAAACAGCACAGAAGAAAAGAGTTGACAGGAGGAGTGTGTTATTTGATCTGGATCACCATTTAAACGATACTCCTTTTTCACAGGAGACAACAGAAAAAGACACAGGCACATCTAATAGCTGGGGTTTGGTTTATCACACATTGAAGTCATGTTTAGAGAAGAGATATTCTTAACTCCAAGTCACTGAAATAACAATCTTCAATGAGAATTTAGCTTTAAGAGGTAAAAAAAACACCTGCTGTTTTTAATTAAAATATGCTACCTTAAAGTGCTCCCGACTTGAGGGGGGGACTCAGGGGCTTGTCTTGAGGCTTTCCACTCATTCTTACAGGATAAGCTCTGTGCTGCTGCACTGCCATTATCTCTAATGCCTCGTAGCAGGGAGGAGGCACTTATCGATTTCATTCAGAAACACAACGGGTTCTGCATCTAACCTATTCATGTTACTGCCTACGCAAAAACCTCCCAGGCACAAGGCCGCCGGCGTGAAGAAAGCTTGATTAGAACAATAACATATTTAAAAGAGAAAAGCTATCGTAACATTTGTCACATTCTCCAACAAGGGATGGACTGATATGCCAATGCCATTTGAAAAAGGTAAGAAGACAGTCTGATTCCTCTTTCCTGCTTTCAGTTCTCAAAATCACTGGCAGCTTCAGGGAATAGTGAGCCTCTTGTATGAAACACACCCAAAGCTGTGCAACACAAACAAAAACACAAGTGCACACCAGTGGTAATTAATTCCCTTAATACTACGTCTTACTGAAGTGATTCAGAGAAACTATGTGAGGCAGATGCTTCCTTATAAAACGATCCAACTATAAAAGATTATGGCTAACATAACTGTTTTTTAAAAGAGGGGAGAAAGATCCACTGCAAGTGTTTTATTTACTTACCTCTTGAGGCCTTACGAAAATAATTTAAAAAAAGAAAATGTTCACTCACTTTGAATATTAATACTCATTTACAAAATTACATATTTAACATCCAAAACGGCTATTCATTTTTCTGGTATGTTAATGTGCATCTTGTACAGAAAAGCTATGAGGTGACATCTGCATGCTATAATGTGCTGTGGCAATGCTAACCGTTGTCTAGAGGCAAGACCATTATCCTCAGGTTCAACATCTCCTAATTAATTATTTGGGTGTGTTTTAAGATATTTTACAATGGACTAGGGCAAGCTTTTTGACATCATGCTGCTATCATGATGCAGACATATCGCGAGCAGTGCCTAAACCTGAAATACCAGATGTTAATTTGACCTTCATCTAAACTCCCAAAATGCAAAAAGGTTCCCATGTGACTCACCTTGACAAAGGACACATTTGAGGGGAACTCCCCGGGCCGGGTGGTGGAGGATTCTGTCAGAGGAGGTGCAGCGATGGGCCCCCTGGTGATCCGCAGGGACACAGGGAAAGAGCAGCTCACCGAGTGATCAGCGGGGGACGGATCACAATCTTCCTGGTCCATTTCCTCTGTTTTGCCGTCCTGCCTCTGGGTCCCTGCCTCATCTGTGCGACAGGAGTCATTGTCACTTGCAGCCTCTGCAGGGCCACTTTGTCCTTTCGCTGGCTTCCCGTTTTCCTCCCTGCCTTCAGCTTCATTGTGCTTCTTCTCAGAGCCTGTGAGACTCTCTTTCCCATTCCTCTCCTGCTGCTTAGTGCTCTTTTTCTCCTGCGTTGCATGCCTGGCCTCTTGGGTCTGCATCTCAGACAGATAATGTCTGATGTTCTTCCGGGCTGCATGTACCAGTCCATTGTCAATGTCCACGCCCAATATTCGGGCAGGTCTTAGCATTTTGGCAATATAGAGTGTAAGATGGCCCGAGTTGCAACCCAAATCCAGAACCTCTTTACCTTCAAACCACTCTGGACGAAGCACCCGTACCCGGATGTCTTCGCTGGCGCCTGGGTTGCGGTAGCCATAATACTTGTTGTAGTTCCCATACTGGAACTTCTTCTTTTGTTGCTCCTTCGCCTGGTTGTGAGGCTGCTGGTGCTGGCGTCCTCCTGGCCCTGGTTTTGCCCCACTCCTTGGTGTGTGGAAGGATTGGGGATTTCTCGACCCCCCCGTTCCACAACTTCTGTCTCCAGATCCTGACTTTCCAAGGGGGGTAGAATGAGTCACAGGGGCCTCCATTTTGCAAGAGGTGCGCCTGCGTTTGCGTCTGCTCGTGTGCTGGTTCGGTGCCCCTGATAAGGCGGATGTGCAATCCTCTAAAGATACAGATGTCATCTCCTCCTTGCTGCTGGCAGAGATGTCAGCTGACAGCTCATGTGAATCCTCGGGGACACTAGAGAAACTGTTGGACTCTTTGGAGACATCTGGTGCAGAACATGTGGCTAACATACCTGGCAGCGGGGCTGAGGTGGCCGTTTTAACCTCGCTTTTTCCTGATTCTGAGAGGTTAACCTGTGTGGTTGCAATCCCACTAGCAGCTCCCACACCTCCTACTCCTCCTCCTCCATGGTGTCTGTTGCGGTGTCTCTTCCTGCCACCAATCCTGAAGGGGGACACTAAAAAGCTGCTGTCTGCTAGCCCGCTGTTCAGGTTCAGAGGATCTGTGATGTCTCTGGGGATGAGGATCTCCACGGGATCTCTACTCTTCGCAGGCAGCGGGGAAGATTTGGGCGTCTCTGCATTCAGGGCCCTGTTGACCTCCTCATCAAGCAGGCTGTTCAGATTCAGTGGGTCGAAAATGTTCCCACCCAGGAGGAAGTTGGTAGGCAGGACGGAGTCACTCTCAGAGTTGGCCCTCCGTCTCCTCTTGCCAGATGTCGGATGCTTGAAACTAGAGGTCGCTGTGTTGCGGCGCTTTGTTAGTTTTGTTTGTTGCGGTTGTTTGGAATGATGAAAGCTATTCCTGGGATTGATGTTATTCTCGTTTCCTCTCGCTCCCTGTCCAGCATCGTCAGAGTGGGAGAGCGCTTCAGTCACGATGGTGTGTTTTGTTGAGGCTTCAGTGTCTGAGACTGGACAAGCAGCTGCAAAATCAGGAGTGGCTGCGGTACCCTCCACCATGACAGAAATGTTGCTGTAACCTCCAGTACATTCTGAGAGCTGCAGAGCTGAAGTAGAGCTGGCCTGTGGACTGCCCGTTTTTACAGTATCCTCATCAACAGACATCTCTTTTGGTTTTCAGGGCTGGTGCAGACATGGAATTTCTTCTGGATCTGAAAGACACAGAAAACACAAATAACAATTTTAATTTAAGCTGAAGAAGTTTGAAATAACATGTAACGATAATTATGTTAACATATATGGCAATATGATTCACAATATTGTGGGGATAATCATGTATTAAGGTGTACCTTTATTGAAAGTATATTTAAATTACTATGATTTTTATAATTTTATAATTTTTGAAGTCTTTAGAAGAGACCCTAAAGAATGAGTAAATATGGTATTCAGACACATGCTTAACAAACATTGAACTAGTACATATTGTGAAAAAAACTATATGAAAAATGATTTCCCCAAAACATTTATAGTTATGTAGTTAATATCATATGAAGATACAAAAAAATAATACTTTTATTTTTGTGAAGTAACGGTTAGATTTGCCTGTTGACAAAACAAAAATGGAGCACATTAGCAAATGTGTGGCTGCTCCAGAATCCTTCTAGACCCAGAGAGTGTGTAATACTTTGAATTAACACACATGGCAAACAATGCATCAATCTATTTTATGGTATTTATCTACATTGCATAAGCTGTAATTGGGTGCTTTAGGCTGGAGGAACCCAATACATATCAAAATATTGATTTATTTTTAAATCAATCAATCAATGCAATGGGTCTGCATCTCAGACAGATAATGTCTGATGTTATCAGACAAAAACAAGTAATTAAATACAGAAAACAATGATATGAAGTTATTAAAAAGAGGTTGGTTGACTAAGTCATAGAATAAAGCGATGAGGTACATCCTTATTGCTATATTCAGACATTTAAATACAGTCTATGATGCACACACTTAACTGCATTATAAAGTCACTTATATCGACAAAACTACAACATTATACTTCTGACATTCTCAAACTTAAGTCCAAGGACCTGAAAGTCATGAGGGTCAGTTTAAGAGCAAGCCTTGGCCAATCATTATGTGTTTTACAGAAGAGGATGTACCAGATCAGGTGACCCTCTACTTTCCACTGTCATTTTCTATCATGTCACAATAATAACAAATGTCTCCACATTAAGATGCAGGGTTTCTGGTACTACGCCATTATTAGATTAGCTATCTGACATGTGAAGCTGTGTCTAAGCAGGGGGTTACTGACCTGAAAAGTTGAGGAGTCCCAGTGTTGAACAGTTATCTGGTTAGCAGGCTAGCTCCTAGCTTGGGCCAGGAGACTGAAACGTCGACTAAACGTGCAGCTCTACTCCGAACAAACAGCCCTTACTACACACAGTCAAGCACCCACCTCGATATGCTGCCGTCTAAACCCCTCCTGAAATCGTGGTTAAAATAGCACAAAGTGACACTATCTACCAGATGGCGTGCAGTCAACAGTGTAGAGAGAATCAAAGTAACAGTCTCACCTCTCGGTGCTCCCCGCCTCCGGCCGGACTGTCACTGCCGCGCACTCTCTGATGCTAACGTTAGCAGCTAGCTCCAAGAGTCCTACATCAACACACCCGTGGCAGGCGACGCGAACACGCCAGTAAACACAGCGAGGCGGTCCTCCTGCAAGTCTGTCCGCGGATAAGCCTGCTCTGCCCTCCAAAGTGTCCTGTCGACTTCTTCGGTGAACTCCCACTCGCCCAGTGTCGGTCAGGTTGGTGAATACATTACTACGCTCGTTGATAGAGTCGGCATGGCGGCGCATCCGGGCTCAGAGCTGTAGTCAAGATGACTGAGAAAGAGTGGGGCGGAGATCCGAGGCTGGGAGTAGAGCTCCTTCTCTGGGATATTACAATGAGCCTGATCCTCATGTTGGTGAACAGCAGGGCTCCCACTAGTCACTATCTCCCTTATCGATTAATAGGTAAGTTATTGTTAAAATCATACATTGTGCAAAGCAGAGATGTTACTGTGAGTGTTTAGCACTTTTCTTGGAGGTTGAACCTTAACATTGATGACACTTAATTGGAGGTCGATCGATTTATCGACTAATCGTTCAGACCTAGCATCACAAACAGTTATTACTCTGCATATATATCTGTATAATCATACCGTTTGTTTATACATTTCAGGTTACAAAATGATTTACAATAAATAATCTTTTCACTATGTTCTTAAAACCATATGGCAAGACCTTTATGTATGCCAAGTTCTTCTCAGAGTTTTACACAATACAGTTTTTTCATTACATAATACTAATTTGATTTATTTTTAAGAACATGATTTTAATTAGATGTTCCACAACAGTTGATAGTGCTCATTAACAAAGTTAAAACATATGTATTTAGCAGTGCCTTTAACTAACTGTTACTCTTTTATCTCGTCTTATCTCTTGCCACTTCTTATTGCCTCCTATTTTTGTTATATATTATTATACAATAATATTGCCTCTTTGGTTATTATTGTCCTTCTTCGCCATATTGAAATGCACCTGCTGTATTAAAGGTATTTTGGGAATAGTTTAAAGGTGACCTATCATGCAAAATGCACTTCTGTACGTCTTTTATACATGAATATGTGTCCCCGGTGTGTCAGGGAACTCACCAAGTGTCAGAAAACACAACCCTCTCTATTTTCCTCCATACCCAAATATCTAAATCGCTGCAACAGAGCTGATTATTATTTGAATTTTTCTGACGTCAGAATAGGGGTGCTCCGCCTATATGTGCAACTCTCCACCTATCAGGGGAATGAGAGACCGCTCGAAAGCAATAGAGTCTGTATGCAGACCACGGCAAGGAGGCGGATCCTGAAGGGGGTGGATCCTATAGGGGGGGGGGGGGGGGGGCGTTTCCTAAAGGGTTATGAGCCCCGCCCCCCACGTATTTCTTAAAGGTATACGACGCTCTGTTTCTCATTTATTTGACTGCTTTGAATGAATCATAAACGAACTTTGAAAAATAATAATTATAATTAATTTGCATAAAGAATGAAGAGTATACAACCCACAGAGAAGACAAATTAATTGACCTATTGACAGATCATAATGAATACAGAGTCAATTTGATAGTTTATCATAACATAGGACACATTAAACTCATAAATTGTAGGCATATCATTTTTTACTGTTTGTGCAGTGGTAGTAATTATTATTCAAATCAATCAACTACGTTTTATGGAAGATATTGCTGTATATCATTTAATAACATGAGTAGAGGTTTCTGTACACCTAAAATACTGAAGTTGAAGTTACTGTCCTGATGTGTATCATTCATTTGTTCATGTTGTGTCTGGTGGTAAGATTAATTAATTAATTAACGTATTTATTATTTTTGAAACATTACATCAAATACTAAACATCAAATGTATAGTACATACCAATACATTGTACAAAGGAAAATATATACAGTACATACAAAGAGGAAAGTCTTCATTAAACATAAACATTTTATTGGGTGTTCTAATTCAGCAACCACAAAATATGTACCCAGATTTCATTATCTCTGACTTCATCAACCAAAAGATCAATTTTGATATTTAACATGAACTCAGAAAGAAAAACACATTGTCTGCCTTATACAACTTGTGTTGGTCATCTTTGAATATCATCTAAGTTTTGTTGATGGACAATTTTGCTATTATTAGTATAAGGTTTACACTAGGCTATATATTTCACTATGGGGTGTGTTAAGACCCAGAATGATATTTGGCTATTTCTGTGTAAATTCCACTTTGAACAGAGACAAGATAAGGGCAGCAACTTGAGTTGCCCAAGCATTGACATGAAACAAACATAATGGTCTGTCTCCTCTGTGACCAAACAAACAGCACATACGTAGAGGAGTAGGGACAAGCTTCCATTTGTACAGGTTTTACACATTTGGAAGAATGTCATGTAATATTTTAAAATTGAATTCTGGCAATTGACCCTCTGGAGAAATTGTCTGTAGCTGCCATACATTATTTGACTTGCTGTTTGTCAACCACAGCTTCCCAGTACGTCTGTATGTATGATGTCTGCTTATATTGTTTTACAATTACATCCTGTCAGAACCATGTGTACATTGTCAATGTAATCTTATTCAAAGGAAGAATCAGAGCATAATAAATGAATACACTAATACTTGCTATGCACCCAATGTCTGATGCATTATGAACATTCTTATAATGTATTATAATCAGCTTATAACACTGTATAATTATAGTTATAAGAACTCATTAATGCTCATAAATGAACTAGTTGATGTGGGATTCAACAATAGGACTCAAGTGTCTCCATTCTCTTATGTAGGGTGTGAGCTTGCTTTACTGAACAGGACTATGAAGCTCAGCTTCCCAGTATGTCTGTATGTACAGTATGATGTCTGCTTGTATATTGTTTTACAATTACATCCTGTCAGAGCCATATGTACATTGTCAATGTAATCTTTGGGTTTTGCTTCTATTATTTAGAAGCAGGAGCCATTTTTTAGGGATTGCCTTTCTAATAATGAATAATTCACTTACCCAATTCCTTTTATCCTGAAGCTTATGGCATATCTTTAATGCAAATTATACCTGAGTCAATCCAATGTTGATACATTAATGAATTTCCTCTAAGATCCGTTATATACTTAGATCCCCAAACGGTCTGGTTTCCAACCTCATCTCCTGTACGGCTCCTTTAGTGTTCCACCCCCTGCTTTCTGCCAGCTAGCCCATCTTTGAATGACACATTGATAGAAAGAAGGAATCCCTGTTAAAATCAAGGTCTTTTCCGAATCAATTGAGAAATAGTTTAGGCAATAGCTTCCAGTCCCCTGATGTTGGGTGATTGATCCATAATACGCTTCAACCAACCATAATGAAGTGCTTCTCTGTGAGATAAAAATATATAGCATTTTAAACCCTGTCTCATAATCTCCAGTGATAAATGATCTTTTTCAATTGTATGCCTCTTTCCAGACCAAATAGTCTAGAGGTAAGATGAATAACTTGGCTTTGGATAAGTTGAGCCTATAAATAAGGGAAAATACTGTACCGTACACCACATGGCTTTAATAAATACATATTGTTTATGAGGAGAGAAAAGCTGTGTTTTTCATCAACGCATATATGGAAAGGAAGTTCCATCAACACACATAAGATAATTGCATAACACAAATTCCCCTTAAACCTTCATCTTATTCAAAGGAATAATTAGAGCATAATAAATGAAGCGGTAATACTGGCTATGCATCATACTTATAATGTATTATAATCAGCTTATAACACTATAATGATTGTTATAGGAACTCATTGATGCTCATAAATGAAGCAGTTGATGTGGGATTCAGCAGTAGTAGGATTCAAGTGTCTCCATGCTCTTGTTCTGAAAACTTATGTAGGATTTAGAAGGCGTTTTTAGAATCGGCTATACAGTTATACAGAAGGACCAGAGTTTGCTCTGAATAGGAAGTGTTTTAAGGAAGATTTCAGAACCCATGGTGTAGGACTAAAACACATACATGCATATTACAATCACTCACTTAGACTGGCCTCCAATGTGTTAAAACAAGAGACACAGATCAGTGTCCCTTATGGGGTTAATTAGGGTTAGGCTTGGGGCTAGGGGTAAAGATAGTTTTGAGGGAACATAGGGCTGACTGTAGGTACGCTCCCGTGTATGACAGTGCAAAATGTTTGCCTATTCTTTGACTCCTGTTGTCTGTTATTCTGTGTTAAAGTAGTAATAGTCTGTCCTTTAGCACAGTTACATATCTGCCCGGTAGGCCTACAAATGTTTAAGTGAACAGCTTGACCTGTATCTGTTTTTGTGTACTTGTCTCTAGGCGGATGATGTGTCCCTTCAAAATGTGGCAGGCAAGACAGTTTTCTGAATCTTACATCAATGATTGCTATTAAAAATCATTGCTATCTGAAACATTAAAATACAAGGTTATTTAATTTTCAACAGTGTAATAGAATCAGACCATACGATTTTCATCAGCATCCTGGGCTACAAAGAGCAGTTAGCACTGTTGAAAAAAGGACAAATATATGAGAGAAGTATAAAAGTTTATTTTGTATAACATGTAAAGCCTAGAAATACAATATTTGTATGCACAAATTACTCAAGTATAAAGACATCAGCCCATTGTGTCCGATGACAGCGGAAGGAGAGAGCTGGTTAGGAAGGCATAACTCCTTTTCCCCGCAGCGTTCCATAACTTAAGCATTGGTCTGTTTATAAGAAAACATACAGCACTGTGCAGTTGTGGAGGATGCAGGACTTAAACATAAGTATGATTAAAACGAGCTACGCCATTACCCTCTCGACAACAAATAAATTATTATTATTAACAGACAGAACAGACGTGACTAGGAACTCTCAAGTAAACACGTGGCTCATAAACCTTTAGGAAATGCCCCCTATAGGATCCTCTCCTTATAGGATCCTCCCCTTATAGGAACCGCCCCCTGCCTGCGGTCTGCATCCAGACCCATCTCCTCGAAAGCGCTGGAGGCGCTGTAGTACATAATTATGCCAGGCCTGTAAGTGGCGCTGTAGTCTTCCACAAAAGCAGAATCATCCCTTGCAAAAACATGGCTGGAAAAGAGCAAATAGAGTGAAATGAGGCATGGCTAAAATGCATGATCTGTTTGGTATTTTGAAAAAAAAAACTTCACAGACATGTTTTATATAGGTATGGCCCTACAATATATGTTTCAAATATAGCATGATAGGTCCACTTTAATTTTTTATTTGATTCAATGTGCAGAATTTATTAAGGCCTAGAATTAGATGTGTGCTTTTTAAGAGCAACCATAAAAAAAGAGAAATATCACAACCTCTTGCAGTTATATAAGGGACAGAGTTCCCGTTAGAATATTTTTTCGCCGGTCAACATATCCGTTAAAGTTTAAATCTTCCGGACAAAATGAGAAAACTGCCGGTCAAAGGTCTTCTTTGTTATTTATTGTGCTTTAAAACAAATTGATATGATTCGATATTAAACAAACTAATCATAGTAGATTAACTATTCAAAAGTGTACAGTAGCCTAATTTATAATAACACGGGAATAATAAACGGAGCGCTCTCTCCTTCTCCTGACAGCCCGTCAGTATCATGCAGCTCGCGGATCAGTAATGAGTGACCCGACAGTAAAACTAAATGTATCTATAACTAGTTTAGGTAGTTTGAGAGGTCATTAAAATAGCTATGTGTGATATTCTAACCTGAAGTGTGTGTTTTGTTCCGCTCACCGCTGCAGGTGATTATGCAGAGCTGGTGTCGACTCGTCAGCAGCAGCTGATCTCTCTTATGTCCATATCGATCAGATCTAGCTAGTTCTAGCTAATGATAGGACTACCTGCTTATTAAAAGACACCTAAACAATAAGCGTCGCTATGCAACTGGGTGAGGCCACAAAGTATAGCGCAGCATTATGCATTTGTTCAAATGCTCACCGGAACCCCGAGGCATTACCAACAGATCAACGCACAATCAACCCATACAGGACATCTCTTTCTCCACATTAAGTGATAGACATTATAATTGACTATTCTTGTCTGTCACATACTCTTTTGTCTGTCACATAAGTGGCGCAAGTTGCGCAACTGATGCGGTATTGCGCTAAACGGAAATTATTTTTGAACGGACACTTTGACCGGAGAGATTTAGATTTGCCGGTCTTCAGCATATTTTACCGGTCGTAGTCCGGTAATTACCGGCTAACGGGAACTCTGATAAGGGAGGCTAAATCTGAAAATAAATCTTCATATTTTTCACACTCTTGCCTTCTCTCTTCACATATGGAGGAGTGACTGTGGATTAAACCCAAAGATCATAAGGTAAGGTTGCACACAGTAGTATTGACACATTTTGGGTGTTGCAATGTGCCAATTTAAAGCAAAAAAACTAATGGGTTACCCTGTTTACCACAGTATGACAGCCATGGCTACAATCCACAAACCGTTTGTTGGCTCTTTGGACGGATGACATCTTTAAAGTCAACTTCAAGGCCCAACCTCCAAGGTAGGCCCGATTCTATCATTACTCCCCTGACCAGTGTCTGGACTAAGCCTGAAATAATAGTTTTGGTTGTGTAGTAATGGGCTATTTTGATAAAGTACCAGGACCGCCTCTTGACACGTCCATCTTCACATAATTGGGGTCGATCACCACAACATTGCAGCCGTTGAAAGTGTTTGATAAAGGCCAATATTGAAGACACAGATTGGTCCTTGTTTGAAGAGGCAAATTGGCCAGTGTTTCTCAAGCCAAAACCAATTCTCCAGGGCCCAGGAGTTCAAAACTTTTAATCCCTATCTGATCAGATCAGATTTGGATTTTGGGGAGTTCAAAACCAAAAAACAGGATTAGGATCACTTTGATATCCGATCAGATCAGGAAATCCAATCCAAGCTTTAATCTGGATCAAATCTTCAAAACGGGTAGTTCGAATTGACAACACAGGATTGGGATCAATTTGATCCCAAAAAACTGGATTATCCTGATCCCACCAGAGGGGTGGATTTCCAGTGGATTACCAGAGCAAAATGTACTGTACAATTTATTTTTAAAATATGTTTCAATTTAAATTAGATGGCAAAGTTTGTTAACTGAAATAATACACAATTTTTAGCCTTCATGGAAAATACATTTTATTTTTCCATTTTTTGCTCACGTTTGTGGTGGCCTATTTTGTTTTCAACCAAATGTTGATGACATAAATGTTTATGCTCATAAAAGTATCACAACAAAGATTGTCAATCACAAATGTAATTTCGATTAAATTAAAAATATCTTCAACAAAAAGAAAGCCCATCATCTGTCATCACCTTTCAAAAGTAATTGCGGACAATAGATGTCTCTGCAATGTGGTCTCTTGTCTTCCTTGTATTCTTTTTCATATCCACAAGATGGCGATCGGTAGGATTAAAGCACTGATATTCAGGATCTATCATCTTGAAAAATCGTAATCTGGATCAGGGTGATCCTATCCTGAATTGCTTTGAACTCCAGGGACAACATTTGGCCGACTTGTCTGATCCTGGATCACAAAAAATGGGATTTCAAAATCTGATCGGATCTGATTGAGATGAAAAGTTTTGAACTCCTGGGCCCAGATGACTAAGAGCTTATATTTGACCCGCCTGTTGTCTGAATCTGATTTGTGCTCTGAATGTTAAACTCCTGGTGGAGCGTTTTATCATTAATGGTTCAAAGAAATACTATTGTATACACATGTATGTTTCATGCTTTATGCAGAATTACTACTTACAACAATGGAGTCCAAACTACTTCTATGATCCCGTGCTAATAATCACATTTCTTTTGAGAAAATATATCAGTATATTTTAACTCTAGGATCTATATTCTTTGGTATATGTATAGCAAATATTCATGGGGTACTTTACTGATCCTTTTTTGCTAAGTATGGCTTATTAAGTTTGTACGAGGAGAACTGCTGAAGGTCTGCAAATGATCACTTGCTAGGAATGTTGTGTCCATTTACAATGCATCCGGAAAGTATTTTCATACCCCTTCACTTTTTCCACATTTTGTTATGTTACAGCCATATTTCAAAATGGATTCAATTCATTTTTTTCTCAACATTCGAGACACAATACCCCATAATGACCAAGTGGAAAAAGTTTTAAAATATTTTTGTAAATGACTTAAAAATAAAACACTCAAATATCACATAAACATAAGTATTCACACCCTTTACTCAATACTTTGTTGATGCACCTTTGGCAGCAATTACAGCCTCAAGTCTTCTTGAGTATGATGCTACAAGCTTGGCACACCTATCTTTGGGCAGTTTCTCCCATTCTTCTTTGCAGATTGTCTCAAGCTCCATCAGGTTGGATGGGAAGCGTCGGTGCACAGCCATTTTCAGATCTCTCCAGAGACGTTCAATCGGGGTAAAGTCTGGGCTCTGGCTGGGCCACTCAAGGACATTCACAGACTTGTCCTGAAGCCGCTCCTTTGTTATCGTGGCTGTGTGCTTAGGGTCCTGTTGAAAGGTGAACCTTTGCCCCAGTCTGAGGTCCAGAGCGCTCTGGAGCAGGTTTTCATCAAGGATCTCCCTGTACATTGCTGCATTCATCTTTCCCTTGATCCTGACTAGTCTCCCAGTTCCTGCCGTTGAAAAACATCCCCACAGCATGATGCTGCCACCACCATGCTTCACTGTAGGGATGGTATTGGCCAGGTGATGAGTGGTGCCTGGGTTCCTCCAGACATGATGCTTGGCATTCAGGCCAAAGAGATCCATTTTGGTTTCATCAAACCAGACAATTTGGTTCCTCATGATCTGAGAGTACTCTAGGTGCTCCATGGGGTTCATGTGCCTTTGGCTTCCTTCTGGCCACTCTACCACAAAGGCCTGATTGGTGGAGTGCTGCACAGATGGTTGTCCTTTTTAGAAGGTTCTCCCATCTCCACAGAGGAACACTGGAGCTCTATCAGAGTGATCATCAGGTTCTTGGTCACCTCTCTGACCAAGGCCCTTCTCCCGATGCTCAGTTTGGTTTGGGCAGCAAGCTCTAGGAAGAGCCCTGGTGGTTTCAAACATCTTCCATTTGCAAATAATGGAGACTGCTGTGCTCGTTGGGACCTTCAATGCTGCAGACATTTTTCTTTACCCTTCCCCAGATCTGTGCCTTGATACAATCCTGTCCTACAGTCAATTCCTTGGACCTCATGACTTGGTTTGTGCTCTGATATGCACTGTCAACGGTGGGACCTCATATAGACAGGTGTGTTCTTTTCTAAGTCATGTCCAATCAATTTAATTTACCAGAGGCGGACTCCAATCAAGTAATAGAAACATTTCATTGATGATCAGTGGAAACGGGATGCACTTGAGCTCAATTTTCAGTGTCAAAGCAAAGGGTGTGAATACTTATGTACATATGATATCTAATTTAATCATTTTTAACACGTTTGCAAAACATTCTTGAAAAACGTTTTCGCTTTATCATGGGGTATTGTGTGTGGGATATTGAGAACAAAAATGAATTTAATCCATTTAGAAATAAGGCTGTAACATAACAAAATGTGAACAAAGTTAAGGGGTATGAATACTTTTCTGTGGAAACACATAAACGAATTTCCAGACCAGTATAACTTTAGTGGCAGTTTATTAGAATAAAACACATTGCAAAACTCCAACATCCCATGTATGGCTATTGTAAAGTGGGACATCAGGGGGGAGGCCATGAATATATGAAAAAAAGCATGATATGTTGGAGACGAGACATGTTTCATAGTTCATGTTCAGTTATGTCATGAATACAACTTTTTTTTGAAAAAAAATAATTAGCTTAAAGGTAGGGTAGGTAAGAATGGAGAAACCAGCTTGAGTAAGCTAGAATTTGCAAGTACACAACCGAAAACAATCTAATAATACGTTTGTGCACGAGGTGGAAGGCTGACAGGCAGGTAGGTCATCCAGTTATCTGCTGCGGGCCGAGGCAGATGGACTAAGTCAAGAAAGGACCAATGAGCCTGAGGTGTGCAGTTGTCTACCTTTCTTCTAATGAGCAGTAAGAAAAGATGCAATCTCCCTCTGATTGGCCAACAGGGGATATTCTCTCTCGATTCTTAATGATGAACCAGTCCTCACACTCTCCATCAGGTGATCTGAATAACCCCCCTATCAACTCATTGGGAAATGTGACTTTCATCTTAAATAATTTGGCTAAAGTGACAACAAGTACCAAAGATTGAGGGACTGCCACAAGTACACGTCTCATAAGTCAGTCAACACTTAACCTCCATTTTGATCTTTGTTTAGAGACAGACAGAAATATGAACACCTGGCACATTTCTCAATATGGCTTAATTGGTAGGTACTGCTACATTGAGAGCAATGTTAGACAATACTGTCACAGCTTGTAATTAAGCTTCTTCGTTAATGTGGGACACAACTGTAAAGAGAAATTGTGCAGAAGGTGGTCGACGGCCAGTACTGACACCTGAATTTCCTGGATATTCTAGTTGTCCACCAAATAACCACTAGAGGGAGACAAAATATGAGCTTAAAAAAATGCTGCACACCATAGGCTGTATTATTCTACAGAATTGCCCTTAAACAGTATATTTATTTATCTCTTTCTCTTTATTTGTTTCTTTTTACTTTTCACTGTGTGGTGGCAATAATTATGATTTCATTACTTTAGTGCTGCAAATGTTTAACCTGAAGCAACTCAGCTTTCCCAAGAAGTTGGTTTATTTTGCAATAGATGAGATTTCTCTCTTGGTTGTTGTGTGATCATGAGAGGTCCTCACATGGTGTTTGGTATGACTGATGGGTCAAAACAACCGAGTGGCCTCATTCCTCCCAGAGAGAGACTCCAGCTCTACCATCTGCAGCTGTAGCAACAGGAGAGTTTATGTTTTTAGGTAAATGTTGCCTCCAGTGGAAATAAATGAAAACACTAACAGCCAGTTTCTCTATTGATACTAGTGGCTGGAATTTTGGCTTTCTCTAAATCAGGGGTGGGGAACCTTTTTCCTCTCGGGGGGTCCGGAGGCATGCTCCCCCGGGAAGTTAAAAGCATCAATCTGGTGCACTTTGAGAGCAACATTAAGATATCTATGGATACATCTCTCAACATCCATATGAAACAGAACTGTCATATACTGTCATATAGTATTTTATACCTGTTTACTTTATTCTCTAATTTTGTTATAACTATAATGATCATATAAAGATGTGCCTTTACCTCACTGGTTATAGAAAAAGCTTCTTATATTCGTTAGCATAGCTAGCTAACCAGATGCTAATAACAAAGAAGGTATTGACTGTATAATCAGTATGACAGATGAACAGATCGCCAATGGGCTTTCAACTAAAGACACAGCCACGCAAAAACTGCGGCATGTGTACAGCTCCTTATGGGTACTGCAATGTTTGGAAGTGGCGGAGCGGCGTTCTGGTGCTCTCCGTCAGCACTACACCCCTGTCAGACGAGACATATAGCCTACCACGTGATGACACGTTAGGCTCGTGTTGTGTTCAA